TGACACTGACAAAGCCACAGTCTCTGAGTTCTGATTGGCTGTTCAACTACCACAGTGTACTACAGTGTACTACAGTGTACTACAGTGTACTACAGTACTCTTCAGTAGTAATAATGTTGTGTATAAAGACGTACTGTACTACAGTCACACAATCCTCTCACTGTTTGAAACACACACACACACCTTATTATAGTCAATAGGAAACACGTGTGTGTGTGTGTGTGTGTGGTTTGGTGGTGTTCAACAAGTGTCTGAATTAAGTTAGCTGCACTAATCTGCCACCAGATGGAGCCAGAATTAAACACAATTGCAAAACGAAAACAACCACATCAAACAAACACAGAGTCTGAACAAAGTCTAAAGACAGATGAAGGTGAACCGACGTCTGTGTGTGTGTGTGTGATACAGTTGTGTCAAATATCAGACACACACTCCAGCTGACACCCTGACCTTTCACCTCTCACCTTTACACAACAGCCACGTTGTGAGACACACACACACACACACACACACATGCTAAAGCCGTCCCAGACCAGAGTGAAGTGAATTCCTTGAAAGAGTCCAGTTCCACAGAGAACCGCCGTCCCAGAATGCACTTGTTCCTCCACCAGCAGCTGCGTCTCCACCGTCATCCACCCAGTCTGACCGCGGTGACCAGCTCGACCTCCGCAGCTTATAATTTCTCCATGCAGCTCTGTACTTAGCACTTATTTATAAAACCCGGAGCACACAGAGCGAGGCTCCACACTGCTGCTCCAGTGGACTTTATTTTTACAACCTGGAATTAGAAGCAGGCTGAGAACCAGAGCTCCACGACATGGACGGAGCGTGGACCACAGGAGGACCACAGCAGGAGATCAGGGACGGAGGACCGTCTGAACAAAGGAGCGCTCACCAGAGGTCTGCTACATCTGCACGCTGCCACCAGGGGCGCTGCAAGAGCTCAGAAATGTGAGGAAAGATGCACTCTTCATTAGCCAGGTGCTAACAGTGCTAACAGTGCTAACGCTAACACCGAGCAATCATCATCATCATCTTCATCTTCATCATCATCTTCATCTTCATCTTCTTCTTCATCATCATCTTTTTCATCCTCATCTTCATACTCATCATCATCATCTTCTTCATCATCAGCGTCATCAGCATCATCATCATTATCTTCATCATCATCTTCACCATCTTCATCATCATCCTCATCTTCATACTCATCATCATCATCTTCTTCATCATCATCATCTTCATCATATTCATCATCATCATCTTCCTCATCATCGTCATCATCATCATCATTATCATCATCTTCATCTTCATATTCATCTTCATCTTCCTCTTCATCTTCATCTTCCTCATCTTCATCATCATCTTCCTCATCATCGTCATCATCATCTTCATCAAGCCTTTTTCAACTTTATGAATGAAAACCAGATTTCTCAGAGCAGCTTCTCCACTCGTCCCAGTCTGAGCTCAGATTATTTTAAAAAGTGCAGTAATGTCTGGAAAAGACATGTATGTGTGTGTGACTCCCCCCTCCCCCTCTCCCCCTCCTTCTCCTCCCAGTTCCTAGAAGCAGCAGAACAGTCACAGTCTGTCATTAGAACTCACTTCCACACTGAACAACAAACCACAAAATCATCAGCTACGAAGAGCAGTAGGAGAAGCCCCAGCCGACGCACCAGAACCTCGACTCCCTACCA